GGATTCAACACTCCTGATGGCAGATCCTGATAGAATCCAGAGACCATTACTGAACCCAGCAGGAAAATGATAACTTTGTTCGAGTTTTTGGCCCATGAGGTAGATAAAACCTCCCAACAAGACAGAGAAAAAAAGGAGAGAAAAAATAATCCGTTTTGGGAGACCCGCCTGGCCATTAAACCCAGGTCCTCAGCCTCTCCGTCTCACTCCTCCTCATCTGCTCATCACGCTGCTGCAGCCCGCTGCCCACTTCCTCCTCGTTCTCCTCCTGGCTGTTCCGCACAATCGTCTGAGAGAGGGGGACGAACTGCTGGTCCTCCCCAAATCCAGCGCATGGAGGAGAGAGCTTCACAGACGAGGGGGAAGCCCAGCCCTCGGTTGCCGGTTGAACAGCGGAAGATTTCGCTGGGGGGGAGGTACCCGTGTCCACGAGAGGAGCAGCCCAGCTCTCGCTCGCTGGAGGAGCGAGGGGGAGGTTCGCTGGGGGAGAGGAACCAATGCCCACACTTGGCGGAGGAGCAGTCCAGCCCTCCCTCACTGGAGGAGCTGGAATGGTGGCAGGCTTCTCTGGTGGCGATGTATCTTGGTCTGCCCAGCCGCGAGGAGGTTCAGGCAGACACTCCTCCATCTCCTGCTGCAGCTTCTTCTCCACCACCTGCTGCAGCAGTCCTAATCCCATCTCCTGCAGCTGCAGCTCCAGACCCTGTCCCTGCAGCTCTGGCCCCACCTCCATTGGCTGCAGTTCTGGCCCCATCTCCACCGGCTGCAGCTCTGGTCCCTGGTTCTCCAGTTGCAGCCCTGTTTCCGGTCCCTGGTTCCCCAGCTGCAGCCCCGATCCCTGGCTCACCAGCTGCAGTCCCGTCTGTGGTCCCTGGTTCACCAGCTGAAGCCCCGTCTCCGGTCCCTGGTTCCCCAGCTGCAGCCCTGTCTTTGGTCCCTGGTTCTCCATCTGCAGCCCCGTCTCTGGTCCATGGTTCTTCAGCTGCAGCCACGTCTCTGGTCCCTGGTTCTCCAGCTGCAGCCCCGTCTCTGGTCCATGGTTCTCCAGCTGCAGCCCCGTCTCTGGTCCCTGGTTCTCCAGCTGAAGCCCCATCTCCGGTCCCTGGTTCCCCAGCTGCAGCCCTGATCCCTGGCTCCCCAGCTGTAGTCATGTCTTTGGTCCCTGGTTCTCCAGCTGAAGCCCCATCTCTGGTCCCTGGTTCTCCAGCTGAAGCCCCGTCTCTGGTCCCTGGTTCCCCAGCTGCAGCCCTGATCCCTGGTTCTCCAGCTGTAGCTCAGACTCCACCACCTGCCGCTGTAGCTCAGACACCACCACCTGCCGCTGTAGCTCAGACTTCACCACCTGCCACTGTAGCTCAGACGCCACCACCTGCCACTGTAGCTCAGACTCCACCACCTGCTGCTGGTCTGGACCCTGGCTCATCTGCAGTCCTCGCTCCTGGTCTGCCCGAGGTCGTCACTCCTAGTCCTTCAGCTAAGGTCCTCGCTCCTGGCTCATCTCCCGAGGTCCTTGCTCCTGGCTCGTCTCTGGGGATCTTCGTTCCTGGCCCACCTACAGATGTCTCCGCTCCCGTCTCGACCACAGAAGATCCCAGCCCACCTGCAGATGTCTCTGCTCCCAGTCAGACCGAAGAGGTCCTCGCTCCGGGCTCGTCTCGGGAGGTCCTCGCTCTGGGCTCATCTCTGGAGGTCCTCGCTCCTGAGTCTACTGCAGAATAGCTTCAGTCTGCAGAGAGCTCAGGGTCCTTGCCTTGCCGCACCCATGGTCAGTCTTTTGACGTCTCCGCTCCTGGCTCACCCACCAAGGTCTTCGGCTGTGGTCCGTCAGCTGAGGTCTTCATCTGCCTGAGTTCAGGAGGTGCTCAGAGGCACACCACTGTTGCCCACAGGAGGACGGTTTCCTAGCTGCCCACAAGAACTCTGGCCTGGGGATGGATGGTTTCCAGGCCGCCCTCCTGATCTCCTGCTTCATTGGGGATGGTCACCTGGCCGCCCACCTGAACATTGGACCTGCCTTGGGCGGTCTTCTGATCATCCACCTTGACTTTCGGTTGGGGTCCTGGTACTCGTTGTTTGTGTCTAGAGTTCCCCAGGTTTTGCCTGTCGGTTAGTGGTTCTTTTTGTCCACTGTGTATCTCCGTCCTGGTCTGTCCTGTTTTTTTTGTCCTGCCTCCCACCCAAGTTGGATGTAGCATCACCCCTGGGATGTCAGGAGCCATCCCTTGAGTGGGGAGTACTGTAGGGTTTTTGGGTTTTGTCCTGTCTTTGTCTGTTTCCTCACATTTCCTGTTCAGCTCTGTTTTTCCTCCTTGTGTTCAGCCCCTGTCTCACCTGTGTCATGTTAATCACTGCAGGTGTCTGTCGTTGGCCCAATCAGTGTCTGTGTATATATTCAGTTCCTCTGCATCTTGTCTTTGTCTCTGGATTGTCCTTCATTGGTGTCTTGGTTTGCCTCCTGTCATGTCGGCTTTGATCTGTTCTCAGTACCAGTAAGTGACTGCCCTGTCAGACTTTTGATTTTGTTTTTTGAGAATAAATATTTTGATATTTTTACCTGGAGCCTCCTTGTCATCTTCCTGCACTTGGGTTCAAACCTTCTGATGGCAGGTCCTGACAAAAATTGCATTAAGATTCTTAACCTCTGTTTAAATACTGACATCTGCAAACAACTGCCAACCAAAATGTTAAACATGTGACTTGTTCAAGTCAAGTGTATTGTCATTTGCATCACATGTGGTACATGAGGTGGAATGAAATTATGTGCTCAGGGTCCCTGTTACACTCAAAAATAGCCAAATATAAAGTATCAAAAAGAAACAGTATACAAGGATCTAAGATATACACTATGATCAATATGAATACCTAACGATACGCCAAAAGATCTAAGATATAAGCTAAACACTAATAATTCAATTCAGTTTATTTATATAGCGCCAAATCACAACAAAGTTGTCTCAGGGCACTTTACATGAACATTCACTTAAAAGCCAATTAGTAAATTTCTCTATCTAAGGAATCCAGCAGACAAGATGAATCTTGGCTTCGTTGCAGTCTCCCATCCTGAGCAAGCACAGTGGAGACAGTGGAAAGAAAAACTCCCTTTTAACAGGAAGAAACCTCCAGCAGAACCAGGATCAGGACAAGAGACCATCTGCTTTGACCGGCTGGTTGAGAGGACAGGAAGGAGAGACAGACGAACACAGAATGGTAGGTCCAGGTATAAGTCCAGTCCAGATATAGGTCCAGATGTAGGTCCAGGTCCAGGTGTACCTGAAAGACAAAAAAAAAAAAAACACATGTTAAGGATAGAAAAAATAATTACAAATACAAAACAGGTTGAGCAGAGTAAGTAAAGACAGTAGCAGAGTGAAAAGTGTGGTCAGTTTGTCCTCCAGCAGTCTAAGCCTATAGCAGCATAACTAAGGGACAGCTCAGGAAACCAAAGCCGACCCGAACTATAGGATTTATCAAAAAGGAAAGTCTTAAGTCTAGTTTTAAAACTGGATAATGTGTCAGCCTCACGGACAGAGATTGGAAGTTGGTTCCACAAGAGAGAAGTCTGAGAACTGGAAGATCTGCCTCCCATTCTGTTTTTGTAAACTCTAGGAACCACAAGTAAACCTGCAGTCTGAGAGTGAAGTGCTCTGTTAGGAAAATATGGAACAATAAGATCTGTAATATAAGATGGAGCTAGGTTGTTGAGAGCTTTGTAGGTGAGAAGTAAGATTTTGAATTCTATTCTGGATTTGACAGGGAGCCAATGGAGAGAAGCTAAAACTGGGAGAGATGTGATCTCTCCCAGTAACTCCAGTTAAGACTCTGGCAGCAGCATTTTGGATCAAATGAAGACGTTTTAAAGAAGTATTTGGACACCCAGATAATAAACCATTGCAATAGTCCAGTCTAGACGTGACAAATGCATGGACCAGTTTTTCTGCATCATTTTTAGATCAGATGTTTCTAATTTTAGTGATATTACGCAGGTGGAAGAATAATAATGTAAAACAATATAGCGTAACAACAGCAGCCTGAACATGAGTCTGTGGTGAACAGATGGGTATGAATGAATGCAGCAGCATGAAATAATCAGCAGCACAAATAAGTCACATATTACTAATTAAAGTGGAATTACAGTGATGTTACTTTCTTTTTTTAATTTATTTTTTCTTACAGTGATTATCCTGGTTAGGGATGTATGAGTCTAACAGCTTCAGGGTAGAAGCTGTTCCTCAGCTTGAAGTGTGAAACCTATGACAGTGTCCACTGTTAGTTTCACTGTGATTCACAACCGTCTACAAGTTATTTCCTCAGAATCACTTCCATTGTCATACAGTGACTGCAGTGCAGATTTTTGTCTTGATATCAATGACTAATCACTCATTTATTTTTATTCCAGCTAAAACAAGAGCTTTAGGTCAACAATAAAATGGCGAGAATATAAGGGTACAACAAAGATTTCCCTTTTATACAAATGCCTGATGTAGAACAATTTGCTAGAGAAACCTTCAAAACGTAGTTGTCAATGTCACTTCTTATTTTGTGGTAACATCTGTATGCATACACAATTTAAAATGACTAAAAAAAAAAGTTAAATCTGGTCCTCTGGACATTAAAAAAAAAAAAAAAAAAAAAAAAACCAGCGTATCAGATTTAACTTTTTTTAGATTTTAGATTTTTAGATTTTTCTACCTGGATTGTTGAGCATGCATGAGGACATTTAAAATGACCATTTCTCTCAGATGGGAAAATTACACAAAACAATATCTGGCAGAGGATGAATGCAAACACGTGGCATATATCAAATGTTTAAGGATTCATGCACACAAAAGTAGCTGTTTAAAATGATAATAAAACAGCTGTAACATGTCTCATTGACTAAACATAATTACAGATGTTAGCTTTAAATATCTTTTTGTACAGATTATTTCAACAACTTTTTTACTGAACTATTTGTGACAGTGATCAATTGATGTCTGTGAGGTTGTCCTGTTTGTCCACAGATGCCTATCCTAAAACAGAGATGATCTATACTTGGACCAAAGGGCCTCAGCATTCAGTGGAGGTCCCTCCTGAGTCCTCCAGCCTAGTTCAGTACGATCTCATCGGTCAGACGGTCTCCAGTGAGACCATTAAATCCATTACAGGTGAGTTGTTGTTTTATTTTTCACCAAAACAGTGATCTTTTCCTAGGAAAACAGAAATAATGAGATAAACTTTGTTTTTTTATTTTTATTTATTTATTTATTTGAAGAGTGAAACACAAACCACTGAAGATTTTTCAGGTCTACACTCAGTTTTCCACACAAATATTTGGGATAATAATTTTGTATGAATTCAGCTTCGCTGGTAACAGTTGAAGGAGTTGGAGCTTTGACATTTACCGGTACAAACATGGCAGACTGTCTGTTAAACATGACTAGCACACAGAAGCACCCCATGAAGTAAACATGATACGTTGGGTCATTTTACAGAGCCAACTGGTTCTATAAAAAAATGAAGGATTCAAAAATCTAATTATTTTTGCAGCAGAAAAACAGACAATGCTTAAACAGGCACAGCAAACAAGAGATTCCTAAGCAGTAATAGTATATGAAGACCTAATCAAATTACATCTGTCTTTTACTGTATTAATTTAAACGTGCCACACTTAAGATTGGTTATTGTTTATTCATCCATTTCTTTCTCTGTTGACCCTCCAGGTGAATATGTGGTGATGACGGTCCACTTCCACTTGAAACGTAAAATGGGTTACTTCATGATTCAGACGTATATCCCGTGCATAATGACAGTAATTCTGTCTCAAGTGTCTTTCTGGATTAATAAAGAATCTGTCCCGGCACGGACAGTTTTTGGTACGTAGACTTTACACACTCCTACTTCTTTTCTTTTTTCCCTTGCCCTTTTCCAGTCTACAACTATTCTAACTTTTTTTTTTTTTTTCATTTAGCCTTTATTTATCCAGGTTAGTCTCATTGAGCCACGAGAACTCATTTTCAAGAGAGACCTGTTTTAGGGAGCACATGGTGGGGGTTAAGGGCCTTGCTCATGGGCCCAGGGTGGGGCGAATGAGGGTGGGGGCAAGTGTGGGTGTTTCACCTACCCCACCCACAATTTTGATGTTGTCGGGGCGTGAACCGGCGATCTTCGGATCACAAGCCCACCTCTCTAACCTCTGCGCCACCACTCCCCCACTCCCCCACTCCCCCTACAACTATTCTAACTATGCTTCTTTCATTCACACATTGTATTTGTACCTTTTTGCTGCTGGTTCATGTTCCTCCTCTCCATCATCTGCAGCCTCACTGAGCTCCTCTCCACTTCTATGAACTAAACGTGAAGCACCCGGATAAAATCATAGCACAAATTTATGGGACAACACCAATAAACTGAATTTAGACACTCACCAGAATGGAAATGTCTGGAACAAACTAGCAGGTATCTTGGGATGCTGGAGAAAGTTATATCAGGACGTCTCACTGCTGATATCAAGCCATTCATCTCCTTTTTGTTATGTCTGACACATGAGCTCCTCGCGTTGTTTCCTGGCGGGGGAACTATGAAACAAAAGTCCGTTTTCAATCTTTTTACAACTCTGGTCGTGTGACTGGACATTACATCCAATAACTCAACAAATTCGGACCATTGCTAAATTGTTTTAACCTACTTAGATTTTTTTTTAAAAAGGGTTAATGAGAAAGCTTGTCTTCGACAGCTAATATCGAGGACAGTAAACATGGTGGCTCCTACCCCATCCTATCCCATCAGCCACCGTGCCGCGGACACAGTGACATCATGCTCTAAAGCTCTATTGTCTTTATAGTTTGCATAACAAGTCTATCTGCAGAGTAAAAAAGATCATATTATGTGACTCTCAGTAGAAATGCATGTCGGTGAGGCACAAAATAATAAAGCACTGACAGATTATTCTATTTCTGCAGCAGCCAGCATATCTGAGTCCAGCTGCATTGCAGTACAGTGAGTTAATTTCACACATCATATGTACCAGAGTCAGGGAAATGTATTTAGCTAATTCTTCTATTTCTAGCATTTCTGGCATCTAAGTTCTAGTTTACTTTGAAAACAGCATTACATAAAATGTGTAGGCTAATTTCCTCTGTCTACATCCTTTAGCTGCAGTTCACCTATCAATGTCAGCCAGTAGCTATTGACTGACAGGTAATTAATTATATGACGGTCATGTCTGGGCACAGACGAAGTGCGTTAATGTTACATAAGGACTCTGCAGAACACACTGTTCTTTATGTACCACTAAAGGGGATTTTATCCAGATCACATTATAGCTATTGGTTAAGATGATTTCTGGGTTTATGTGACCCTTTGTTTTTGTGTGATTTAATGTACATATGACCTTGCTTGTTGGCCTCTTGTGCTTTGTTGTAGTGGTCTATACTCTAACATGTTTATGAAATTTCCAAGATGGCCGCGCTCAGAGCAGTTGCAGCTTCACAGGCTCCCGGTACCATCCCAGTTTTTAGAAGTTTTGATATTGACTCTGTGCCTGACTCTGCGCGATTTATGCGTGTGAACTATAGCCGAACCGAACTGATGAGAATAGGAGCGGATTTGCCACGAAATATAGCAGAAATCAGCAACAAACTCAAAGCTACGCTCGGCAGAATGCAGATCTTAAAGTCATCTACCTGGAAGCTGCAGCAGAGGCGTTCCAGCGGGCAGAAGAGGAAGCGCTGCTCCCGGCTTAAGAGGAGAGGATGCCGGGCGGGGGTTATGGTGAGGCTACGAGCTAACGCTAAAGCTGGTAAACTCCCCATGCCGTCTCTCTTTCTGTCGAATGTCCGCTCGTTGGACAACAAGGTGGATTTACTTCGTCTGAGAGCGGGCGCCTCAGAAGAGATGAAGAAGTGTGCAGTGCTTTGCCTCACGGAAACGTGGATTACAAGTGAAACGCCGGACTCAGTCTTCCAGCTGGATGACAGACTTTTATTTCGAGCGGACCGCTGCAGCGAGCTAACGGGGAAATCACGGGGGGGCGGAGTGTGCATTTATGTGAGTAAAAGTTGGTGCACGAACTGTACTGTTGTAAATAGCTCATGCTCGAAGGCTTTGGAGCAAATAACAGTGAAATGCCGGCCACATTATCTACCCCGAGAGTTCACAGTGACTTTTATCACAGTTGTTTACATTCCTCCGGACGCTAATGCTAATGAATCACTACAAGAGCTACATGATATCATCAGCTCGCTGAAGAACAAACACCCCGAGGCTCTTTACGTTGTAGCCGGAGACTTTAACCACGTGAATCTAAAGGACTGTCTCCCAAGCTTTAATCAGCATGTGACGATTCCGACACGTGGAGACCGCACGCTGGACCGTGTTTACACGAACGTAAAAGATGCATACAAAGCCGAACCCCGCCCCCACCTAGGACTGTCAGACCACATCTCAATCTTCCTGGCTCCTGCTTACATGCCCCCGCTGAGACGCTCCAGACCGGTACAAAAGAAAGTTAAATGTTGGAGCCAGGACAGTGGACCCATACTGAGAGATTGTTTTGATCGAACAGACTGGCAGGTTTTCAGAGAAGCTGCTGAAAATGGAGGTTCGCTTGATCTTGACCAATACACATCCTCAGTACTGGGTTACATTAGTACATGTACTGACACAGTCTCCACTATCAGAAATGTTAAAAGCTACCCAAACAGAAAACCTTGGCTGAATGCAGAGGTGCGTACCCTGCTGGAAGCCAGGAACACTGCCTTCAGGTCTGGAAACTCAGAGGAGCTGAGTAGGACAAGAAAAGAGCTGGTTGCTGGTATTAAGAAGGCCAAGGCCGCATATGCACAGAGGATCGAGGGTCAATTCATCTCACAAGACCCTCGGAGCATGTGGAGGGGCATTAAGTGCATAACAGATTATAAAGGAAGGAGTGAACAATGCCCCAAAGACCCATCTCTGCCTGATGCCCTCAACAAGTTCTATGCACGCTTTGAAGACCCGAACAGACCACCCAGCACCAGACTCACCTCGCCACCGGATGAAGAGCATCTCAGCGTGACCTCAGCAGAAGTAAGGAGTACCTTCAGGAGGATTAATCCGCACAAAGCAACTGGCCCAGACAACATCCCCGGAAAAGTGTTGAAGGAATGTGCTGATCAGCTCTGTGAGGTGCTGGCAGACATCTTTAACACCTCACTTACCCTGGAGACAGTTCCCACCTGCCTGAAGACTGCCACCATCATCCCAGTCCCAAAAAGCTCCACAGTGACTGGTCTGAATGACTATCGGCCAGTGGCCCTCACCCCGATAGTCGCTAAATGCTTCGAAAAACTGGTCATGACTCACATCAAAACAACCATCAACATCAACGAGGACCCTCATCAGTACGCATACCGTGAGAATCGATCAACAGAGGATGCAATCTCCTCTGTGGTCCACACTGCACTCAACCACCTGGAGCAGAAAAACTCTTACGTCCGTATGCTCTTTGTGGACTTCACATCCGCCTTCAACACCATGATCCCCCAAACCCTGATGGACAAACTATCCACACTAGGACTAAGCCCCTCCATCTGCAACTGGGTACTAGACTTTTTAACAAACAGACCACAGTTAGTGAGGATCCACAACCTCTCCTCCTCCACCATAACCCTCAGCACTGGCTCTCCTCAGGGATGTGTGTTGAGCCCCCTTCTGTTTACTCTGCTCACATATGATTGTGCAGCTACCCATCCAGGCTGTCACATTGTAAAGTTTGCAGATGATACAGCGGTGGTGGGATGCATCACAAACAATGATGAGTCCAGCTACAGGCAAGAGGTGGAACACCTGGAGAGCTGGTGCAGAGAGAATAACCTTCACATCAATGTGAAGAAGACAAAGGAGATGATTGTGGACTTCAGAAGGAACAAAAACACCTACACCCCCCTGAACATAAGAGGATCTGCGGTGGAAGTGGTCTCCAGCTACAAGTACTTGGGTGTACACATGAATGACAACCTCAGCTGGAGCAACAACACCACCAGCCTGATCAAGAAAGCTCATCAGAGACTCTACTTCCTCAGACGGCTGAGGCGAGCTGGTCTGGGAAGCTCAGTCCTCACCTCCTTCTACAGGTGTGCAGTGGAGAGCATCCTGTGCTCGAGCATCAATGTGTGGCATGGAGGCTGCACAGCTGCAGAAAGAAAAGCTTTGCAGAGAGTGGTGAAGGCTGCACAGAAATCTGTTGGAATCAGTCTCCCCACCATCACAGACATCTACACCTCCAGATGCAGGAAGAGGGCCACCTGCATCATGAAGGACCCCACCCACCCAGCACACACACTTTTTGCCCCACTCCCCTCAGGAAGGAGGTTAAGGAGCATTAAGTGTAGAACCACTAGACTGAGGAACAGCTTCTACCCTGAGGCTGTTAGACTCATGAATCTCTAACTAGAATAATCACTGTGAAAAACCATATCATGTTGCTGCTGATCTGTTTCATGTTGCTGCTGATCTGTTTCAATGTTGATGTGTTCATGCGTGCACATCTGCTCACAGACTCATGTTCATGTTTGTGCTGATGTTCAATGTTTTATGTTATGAGTGCTTAGTGTATATTTAGTTGATGTTTTTCTTAGTTCATATCTTAGATGTCATTACTGTTTTTCTTAGACATTTTATTGTTGGATGTAACTGGGACCCTGTGGACATAATTTCGCTCCACCACATGAACCACATGAGGTGCGAATGACAATAAAGAAACTCTGACTCTCTGACTCTCTCTGATCCCTTTGTGCTCCCCCCATCGTGGAGTGATGATTGGGAATACCCTTCATCCATACTTCTGTCTGTACATGTTGTGAGCATAATAACTTGAAAAAAAAGTGACGCATCA